GGGTCGTCTTCCTCTGTTATTTCAGAAGAAAATGATAGACCTAATTCTCATATACCTTCTGTTATTTATGCTAAATATAAAGACACTGAATCTAAACCAATAATCCAAACATTAATAAAACCAAGATATTCTACATCGGATATCCCTAATTCAAATCAGTCTTTTAAAATGAAAGGTGTTGATTATAGTTCTTCTATACCACAGGCGGTTTATACCCCTATAGAAACTTATATTCAACAGCAATCACATTTAAACAATGAATCACCTGAATCACCAACAGCTTCAGCTATAACTGAAAATGTTAGTGAATTAAATAGAGAATTAAATGCACTCATTAAAGAAGAACAAACTGATATTGAGAAAAGATTTTTAAAAGAAATTTCAAAAACTAAAAATTTAATTAAGATGAAAAAGATTTTAAAAACTCATTCTTTTGAAGATATAAAATCTGAGTATTTAAATTATACACAAAATACTAAACACATTTTAAAATTCTTTGAATGGTTTGCATTAAATAAAAAAGCTATGTCTGAAAAAACTTTAAACCCCATATCTGTTCGAGACAAACGTCCAGAATGGATTGTAAATAATCAAACAATTAAAAAGGATTTTCCTCCTAAAACAATTAGTAAATTAAAACATCAAGATACTGAAATAATTTGTGCACCTTATAAAATAGCAAGAGAAAATGATAATGATAAAAAAATTATTGAACAAAATAATTTTAGTAATGCTAGTTTAATTTGCATAAATACACAATTAAAGAAAATTGAACATATTTTGGAAGATAAACCAAAATTAAATGAAACTGTGAAAGGTAAAGAACCAATAAAATCTCATGTTTTTAAACCTTATCAAATTTCACAGTCAAGTCAAAATGAATTTGTAAATAGATTAAAAGACCAATTAACTAAACTTGAACTAAGTTCAGACACTACTCAACACGTAGTTCCTGATACTGAAACTTCAAGAAACATAAATATTATAGAAGAAAATTCTAATAATTCTAATTCTGAGATTAGTGAACCTGACTCAGAAGACATTAAACATTTTGAAAATAATAAACATTTTGAACTAAATCCTATACATCATAATGCTATAGTAAATAGAGCTTCAGATTTAGGACTCATTGATAAACCAAATTCTTTGTCACAATTTAAATATAATGCTTCAACTATTTATGAATGGAATATAGATGGTTTAAGTGAATATAATATATTAAGTATTTTACAACAAATGACTATGGCAGCTAATGCTCTTTGTCACAATTAAATATAATGCTTATACTTCAAACTATTTATGAATGGATTATAGATGGTTTTTAAGTTGTAAATTAATTAATTACTATTAAAAAAGTATTTTCACAAACACAAATGACTAATGGCAATGCATTAATGCTCTTATTAAAAAAAAGTATAAAACTTCTAGGTACCCTATGTGTCTGATTAAGGACGTTATTAGCTTGATACAATAATCATTCGAGTTTCAACAGGCCAATTAAAAAGGGTGTGTTTGTATCATCAAATCTCCACTCCTATTCCCCATACAATTTAGATAATATTAAAATTATCCGTTTTAATTAATGAAAGATGACTGACCTTATTAATGTATTTGCAAAAATATGGTTGAATTTTAAATTCAGGATGCTTGATATGGTGATGTAATTCAGGATGCTGTGTCAACCTTAATTCTCACTATTTCGTTACATTTTATAGGAGATCCATCTCATTTAAAAGATAAAAATGCAGAGTTATTAAGTAACTTAAAATGTAAAAAATTAAGTGATTTTCAATTATATAAAACTACTTTTCTTACAAGATTAATGTTAAGGGAAGATTCTAATCAAGGCTTTTGGAAAGAAAAGTATATATATATATATATATATAAGTAAAAAGGTACTACCTTCCCCAGTGTAGGAACCATTTAAAAAAAAAGTTTAATGTATAAATTTACTATTTTATTTTTTTTGTAAAAAATCTTGTGATACCTCTAATTTAACTTTGATTGGTTTGTATATAAATGTCTTTTTGTTGATACCCTCAATTTAACTTGATGGTGAATAACCCATTAATTTTTTATTTAAAAATTTGTTACACATAAAATTGCTCCAACTTTGTGAAATATAAAAATAAATGCAAACTATATTTTTACTAAAAATAGTTAAGTATTGTTACTTATATTATTTATAGGACAATTTAAAATCTATATAATAAATTTTACAAAAAATAATACAAATTAAATACTAAATATATAAAATTTTATTTTACACAAAATAAAATGAATAACAAAATATTCTAAAAAGTTATAATGACCTTATATATAAGACTCCTTTTTGGTCTCTCTATTAAAGGGACAACAATAATTCCCAAATTATACTTACTCTAATTTTCTTTATGAATTCATTATTACTACTCTAATTTCTTTATGAAATTCCCATTAAATTTTACTACTCCATTTATGAACCGAATCAATGAAACTAAAGATTTTTAAACAGTGTTCATGTTGAAGGTTATGACATTCTTGTCGTCACATTATGAAAATATTTTGTTTATTACTATTATATTATGTTGCAGCCTTTTTAGTTTTAGAAGTATGGCTTGGATAGTTAACTATGAGATAAGTTACGAAGTAAAGATTAAAGTATGGGAAAATATGAGATTGATAGTAAACCGTATTTGTGATACTTTAATCTTTCTGTATTTAAGTTCTTGTATTTTTAAGTATGAAACTTTTGATCCTGAAATTATGGCCACTGATTGAAATACCCCTTTATTTCATTAAATGTTTTTTCATAATCCTTGTCTCTCTCTTTGACAGTCCTTAAAATCTGCGATAAACTCATGTTCTTATCTTACTGCCAAAAATTTGTTCTAAAAGTTCTGCATGATTAATGTATTTTTCCTCATTTCAACTTTCTTTGCCACTCAAAACCTAACAGTACTAACTTTAATGCTTATTGAACCTTTTTTATTAAGTTGCTCCATCAATCCAATTGGTCAAGAAATAACCATTCTTCAATAGTTACATACCACTAACTTGCTACGTGTTTTTTGGAAATATGTCGTAGGGACAAAAACAAAGGAACATTACAATTGACAACCAAATCGGTTGAGTTTATAAGACTATAACAAAAAGTTAATTCCCAAATGTTGTGACCGATATATATGTGTTTTCAGAAATTATTTTACCAAAAACACATTTCAGATAACAATGAACTCAATTTGCACTGAACAAGACAAAAAACACATGTACCAATGTAGCAAATTTAATTCGCACTTTATATCAGTGTTTACTTTGTTTTTTTGACCCCAAACATTATGCCCTAAGACAAGACAACATTCTCTTTTTATTTTTTTCCTTTTTTTTTTTTTTTTTTTTTTTTCAAATAATTAACACCTCGCAAACATTTGAATGATATGCCAGGATTTTTTTTTTTTTTTTTTTTTTTTTTTTTTTTTCAATAAATTAACACCTCGCAATCTTTTAATATGCCAGGATAAGGAGATGAATACAAAACGAAATTTCAAAAGAAAACAATATAATTAAAAAATATTTTTTTTTCCAAAATAATGGTGCCACGATGATTAAATAACTAATTAGACATTCCAATGCTTAGGAACTATTTAGCTTTAAATGAAATAATGTTGCCATGGTTTGATTTTTTCATAATTTTATAATATATCAAAAAATTTCAAATATAATTATTCACTTTTCAAATTTGCTAACTTGATAGTGCATTTTTAAGATTAGACTTGCCTAGACAAGATCTACGACTATGAACATTTTAAAATTGTTTCCATTTTATTCTTTTTTTAGTCTATAATTAGAAATACTTTCAATTCAATAAATAAAAATAATTTTGCATTGGTTTGATTTATAGTGAGTCCATAAACCGGGTCTAAACAAGTCAATCCCATTTTTATGATTTTAAAATGACAAAATAGATTAATTTGTTTGAAAATTCGTAAGAGACTGACACCTTTTTATTTCAATATAATGATAAAGATTCGATTTCACTTGTCTATTGAAAAATTTCGCCGGAATAAAACTATTTATAACCTACCTTTAAATCTTTTTGCGTCTGTGTTTACATAATTTCACCTAAATTTCCCTCAATTCTTGAAACCTTAAGTCACTCCCAATATACCCTTAATAATAATTTTTCTCGTTCATACAATCATTATACCCCCAATTTCCTGTAATAATTTCACCATAAATTCAATTTAAACCCTTAAGCACTCCAACTAAAATTTTTTGTCACAATTATACCCCAATTCGAAATTGGTCAAAATTAATGAATAATATATATTAAATATGGGTCCTATAACTTATACTTGAATTAACTTAACCCAAAGAATGAGTCGGCTAAATTATACTATAAAATACGCTAAACTTTAGCGATTATAACAATTTCACCCCTAAATAACCTTAATTTCTCAGACACTCACTTTTAACTTTTTATCACAACTGCACCTTGAATTCAAATTATAGCAAATATATGGTTCTAATAAGGGTCACAGTCAATTACAATTTCACCTTAGATTTCACCCATATATGTCAATTTTATCTTATTTTATTAATAAGAGCTCCCCTAAATACTAGATAAGTATCAATTGGAGTGTGAAAACCACTATATCCGGAATTTTTATTAAGATGTTGTTCAAAACACTTTACGACACCCCAACATGGCATTTTTGTCCCTTTTTATATTTTTATTATCTATTCATAAAAGACTAAACAGCAGACACCCGTCAAATATTGGTTAATTAGGTGCCTGGCTCCATTTCGCTTAGAGAAGCTTCAATTCATAAGGTGTCTGTGATAATAGTTTATCACACACGTTTCACACCTCAAAACAGAATGACCCCTTGAATAGAGTGACCATGGACGGAATAAAGTGAGAAATAAATTAATGGCTCGATCATGTGCATTAAATACACAATGATCTGGAAGCTCGTGCATTAAATACACATGCATGGAAGCTCCAGGTATAATATGTGTACATTGCATCTATTTTCCTTTTCTTCAATTAGACTATATCATCTGATATATTTTTCAAAGGAAATTGTTGTGCCCATTTTCTAAAAGATGCACAGAAATTACTAGGCTCACTTGCACACCCTACATAAGCAAACAACTACATAAGACTGATTCTTCCTAGTTATGAATAAATAAATCTTACATACTTGTCAGTTTGTCCATTGATAAGGTCATTTACAATGCTAAGACTATCTTCCTAATAAGATTTATATCATCCACCAAGATGTCTAAATGTGCAAATGCTGGTCAAGTCTCCATATCCCCAAATGCTTACTCTGTTTGTTACCTAGTGAGATAGTACAAGACACGTGATGAGATAATTAACTTCATAAGAACATTCTACAGGTTCTTCTTCTACCAAATACAGAAGGAAAGCTAGAATATAAACTTGGGAAAACCAACCTGCAGATTCCAATGACAGGACATCATTGGAGCAAGTGGACCCAGTCTCTGCTACTTCCCTGTCTCTAGATGCAACTGGAGCAGAAATAGATGACGAGAGTACATTCGAACTATGAGAATCATGGCCAGCCACACTAACACGGTTGCTACAAGACACTACTGCGAGGACGTCATTAAATGAATTCTCATGCAGCGTACAAGGTTCTGTAAATATTGAACCACAGGAGGAGGCAGCTGAAAAAGCCATTTCAGACACAGAAACAACACTTAAAGAATCAGACACAGAATAAGAATCATCTGCAAGGCTGTAACAAGCTGTTTCCATCTTTTGGGCAGACCTATGGTCCTCTTCATGAACTGAAGTTGCAGGTGACACACTTAAAAGATCAGACACAGAAATAAGCAATTTTCATCTTGCAAGCTGTAAACAAGCTGTTTCCCATCTTTTGGGTTTCCATCTTTTGGGCAGACCTATGCTCCTCTTCATGAACTGAAGTTGCAGGTGACACCTCACCCATAGAAACAAAAGCATTTTCACCATTAGAATGAATGAATTCACTGGATAGCGATACATGTAATGACTTTTTCTCCTCAGGAGAAACACGAGCACTTTCGTGAGTGCAATCAATGAATTCACCAGGTATTGATGCATGGAGTAGTTCTTTCTCTTCAGGAGCAATTAACTCCAAAGCCTCAGGTATATTGGACTTCTCCAATACTGTATTTTCTTCTGTGCTCAAATCAGAGATTTTATTTGTTGAAATATCATCAATTTTTCCTGGACCTGGTGTGCCCAAATCATTTGTCAAAACATCGTTGATGTTTCCTGGATCATCCCTGGATCAGAGTCAATATCTTCAGGGGAATCCATGGGTTTTTATGCAGTAGTCTGATTTGGTTTACAAGAGTGGTGTCCACTCTTTGATCGTAATTACTGGCTTTGATTCTGCAATCAAAATCACTGGGCAAAGTGGTGTCCACTGAACGTATTACTGGACTGATTCCTCACATCAAAATCACTGGGCTCTGCAAATGACTGCTTTATGGGATCCATACGTCCATGATCTTCCTCAATACCAATCATAGATTTAATATAGGTACCAACAACAGCATTTCCTTTTATAGCCACTGCTTGAGCATCACATCTTACAGGATCAACTATAGGAGGAATAATATCTTGAACAACATCGCAAAACTTTTTCATGCTCTCACCCACAGTGTGCACCTGGTTTTCAACATATCTAACAGTATTCTGTAAAAGAAGCAGTTCAAGCACAGGGGAATTGCAAAATCAAGTTTGAGGATCTTATATATGCAGTAATGCAGTTACCAAGAACATAATCTACAATTGTGATTGTGATGCAAGGATATTGATGTATATGTATGTGTATGTGTGTGTGTGTGTGTGTGTGTGTGTATTACACCATTTCAAGTAAAACATGAGAGCAGATACTTCTCAAGAAGAACAGCTAAAACAAGTGGAAGAAATGCTTGTATCCAGCGAGATTAAAAGAAGGGAAAAAAAAAGAAAAAAAAAAAGAAAAGAAAAAAAGAAAAGAGAAGAATCGATACCTGGTTCACAATGCTATCGACTTCCTGGCAAAACCTCTGATAAATGTTCCCAACCCAGGCTATACCTTTAGATTTTAAATCCTTATAAATATGTATTACACTCAAGAAAATTGAGCAGAACCCGCTTAGAGAACTAGATACAAATTCCAAGTTCAGGACAACAATTTAACCAGCACAAGAACAACTTCAGGCTAATTGAAAGAAATAAACTTTTTAATAATTGTGAAAGTGGAAGAATTTCCCTGTGCAAAAGAATTTGTTTTCTTGAAAATTGAAATATTTAAAGCATATAAATTCTCAGAATCTGTCTTCTAGTTAAAAATTTAAAACCACAAAATAACAATCAAAATAGAGTCATAAAATAGTCGGTCTAATTTGCGTTCTCTTCAGTCACTTTATGCAGTTGGCCTGCAGTTGGCCTCAACAGTACCACATGCATGCATACATACATACATGAAAATCAAAATCATCAATCCATACGAGCTGACTCAAAACTCTTCTTTGTTTTTCCTTGAAAATAAAATTTTCCCCTTTTTCCCCTTTATGCATCCATTATATTGTACAACATAAAAGAACACAAAAGGCAATCACATAACAAAGCTTAACATAAAAGTTGGCAGTAGGAATATATAAAAAAATACAGTCTTCCAACAAAAGGTAGAGAATGAAACTCAACTGATAAACCATACAATTTGATCAAATAGCATCTATAACCCAACACATTAAGAGGAAGATTACAGGGAAAGATAAGAGTAAATTACCATACGGGTGGGCAGTGATGACCATCGCCGGAAAGCTTGTGATAAGAGTAAACTACCCTACCCTACCCTACCGGTTTAGAAGTGTTTTTTTCACGGATCAAACCTTTTAATTTGCAAAAGTTATCTCTAAATTTAACCATATTTTGCCTCTCAAGCTGATCGATAAGGTTCGAATTATCACTTTGACCTATGGGTAAGCAAGTTTCGATTTTAACTGAAAAATCAAACTAAGCCGATGCTATTTAGTTTGATTAAATTTGATTTATCAACAAGATTAATTCGATTTGATTAATTACAAATGTAAATTTTAATTTTTAATTTTGACTCAGTATTCTATAAATTGAATAGACCAAAATAACCACAAAATTAGAGGTTAATCAATTCAAATTAGAAAAGCCAACTAAACCAACATGATTTCAATCAATTTGATTTGATTTTTTTAACTAAATTATTTTTTTTAAAAAATAAAAATTGACTTGATTATTTCACTTTAGTTCTATTTTTAAGAATAAAATTAAATCTTTTCAATTCAATTTAATTTGTTTTTTCATATTTACTCAATTTGATTCGAATTCTATATTTAAAATTTGATTTTTTCAATTGGGGCGATTCAATTGAATTCAATTGGGGCGATTCAATTGAACTGAATACTCATCCTTTACTTTCATTGTGTCCTTGCAAACAATGTTGAGTCCATAAAATTTTTTTCTTAGGATTAGCAAATAAATTTTTTTTTTTCTTTCAAAGATGGGTCAATGGATCCCTTATTTACTAAGCTAGATGCAGTATACCTGCAAAAGAAAGTAACACAACTAACTGGAATATTATCACTTAAATTTGCTTAATGAAGATTCCACTTGTGCTTGAAAAATAATTTATTTTGAAAAATTGATTGACTAGTAAGACAAGATTGAGATACAATAAGATTTGATTTTGTTCGTTTTTATTACGAAGGAACCACAAGTTTTTTAAGTTGGTATTGTAACCGCGTTTTTAGAAAACCCCTTTTTTTGGTTTTGGCTTTCCTTAACTGCTTTTCCCCCCAAAAAATTGGGGGGGAGCCACAAGAAATGCCTTTAGTCGTGTACAAACAAAATTATTGTTAGTTGTTTGAGTAGCTTTTCATGAACGTTAAAAACATTAAACGTCAAATAAGCTTAAACTTTTTATAAAAAACGCTACTTCAATCCTAGAAGCTAGTTCAAATATTTATTTATCGAATACTATAAAAAAACAGTGTTAGCGTGTGTTTTGATAAAAGGTCAAAAAAACAAGCGTTTCAAAGGATTTTAAGCTAAATTTATTATTGTTTAAAGTTGACAAATTATGGAAAAACCTTACCATTTTATTGAAAACTCCACTATAAGAACTTTTACGCATGAATTAAAATAGTTTCAGTATATATATGGATATATCCCAAAATCCCAAAATCTTGAGATATATTTCCTATGCGTTGGATTCTCTCAAGATGGAGTCTTAACAAGGAGTTGCAATTTTGAAGGCCTGTTGGGATGCCACCCCTAAAATCATTTCCATATGCAGCGAAATATTTAAGTCATCCACTAAGGCATATGCCATATGGTAGGTGACCTCCAATCTATTGTAATATATTTGTAAACTTGATACTTTTTGTCAAGTTTTCAGTTACAAGGAGTAGCATCGGTTGGAGACCAAGAAGACAAGATAAATTGACTCTAAATAGAGCTGTAAACGAGCCGAGTCGAGCTTTAGTGAGCTCGAGCTCGACTCAACAAGGATATACTCGAGCTCGAACTTGGCTCGAGTTCGTTTCAAACTCGGAAAATCAAAGGAATGAATGTAAGTTCGCTCTATGGCCACCCCACGTTATAATGAACGGAAAACACCAATAAATCGAGTTTAAAACGCCTATGGCCACCCCACGTTTTATAATGAAACTGGTAACACCAATAATCGGAAAGAACAAGATAAACGCCACAAAACGAATTGATAAGTTTACCCTTAATTCTCTGGATATTAATTAGAGGATAAACAAAATTCTCAAACAATCACTCTAATTAAGAAGCATTGCAAGAGTCATGAACAATTCATGCCTAAAATCAATTTTGCCAAGAAATCCCGTTTTACATTTTCTTAAAAGGAGGCCTATTTAATATGCCTTAAAACAAAACCTAACTCTAAAGAAGAGCATCTAACTAGGCTTGCCCTAAGGCTAAAAACACAGAGGCCTAACTATTACACACAAAATAGAATCCATTTCCAACCCAAATAGACAAATTAATATTGGGCAGATTGCATGAAAACAAACTTAAAATAAACACTATGAGCCCAGTATCCTTACATATTAATTTAGGACTAAACAAGCAACAAAGGGATGAAGAAACCACGTCCAAGCCCACATCCCTTACATATAGCATGGCTAGGATGTTGCTACACGACAGCACCATTGTCTCAACAATTGTAAGAAAAGCCTCGGTGTGCGCCTCGGTGTGCCTTCAAGTTCCACTCAACACTCGTTAAATGCCACATAATGAAGCTCTTGTGTAATTTGGTCAACATATAAGGACATGGTTGCCCCCATATCGATTGGCATGGCTCCGTGTAATTGTCCCACTGGGAAGCACCATTGGATCCGTATCATTCCCCTTTTCCTCGAAAAGATTTGTCCTCAAATCTGCATCCATGTTAAAAGGAGACAAATCACTAACATTGAAGGTTGCGCGAACACCATGCTCACTTGGCAAGGCTATCTTATAGGCATTGTCATTGATGTGCTTCATGACTGGAAATGGACCATCTCCACATGCATCCATTTTAGACTTTCGGTGGTTGGGAAACCTCTCCTTCCGAAGGTGCACCCAAACCCAATCACCCGGTTTAAATAGTAGCTTCTTCCTTCTCTTGGTCACACGGTCAACATACTTTCTGTTCCTCCTTTCAATGTTTATATTAGCTCTAGCCTTAGTGTGTATCTCCTTGACTAAGGCTGCCTTCTTCTCACCATTAGAAAACTCCTGTAACAAAGAAACAATATTAGAAGGCAAAGTAGAAGTGTCAATGTTAGGCAAATTATGCAAAATTCTTTCAACCGAATCATCAAGATCGACCTACCATCACTAACACTACTTTGGATCTCTCTCCCTCTCACATGCGAAGTCTGTTTCTTTATCTTCTCTCTCGGTGTTTCACTCACCATTGGGCCATTTAATTGTTTCTTTTCACTCTTGGCCTCTTTTTCCCCTTTTCCTTCATTTTTCTTTTCTCTCTTTCATTTTTCTTTTCTCTCTTTTCACTCTTTTCACTTCCATTTTCCCTCAAAGCTGAAGCCTATCCCTCTTGTAGCTTCTGTTGATCAGTACATACTTCTTGAGGTGACAATGGAGTAAGAATCATCTCTTTTCCGTCAAATGAAGATTGAGCGATTTCTTTTGGAAACACATCTTCAGATTCCTGCAAAGGATCAACAAAAACACTAGGCAAAGATTGTTTAATATCACTGGTAGTAAAATAAACTTC